GGATGTTGTCTGGGGTGGAGTGTCGAAGGGCCAGCCCCGCCTCCTGCCTGCCCCCACCCCACCCCGGCAGGTACCTGACCTTTCTCCTGGTGGTGACCATCCTGATTGTTGTGAATGCTGTGGTCGTGCTCAACGTGTCTCTGCGGTCCCCACACACACACTCCATGGCTCGAGGGGTCCGCAAGGCAAGCTCCCCGCCCCCGCCCACTCCAGCATCCTCCTGCCCTTTCCGCTTACATGCACCTTCCCCTGCACTCCTGTCCCTGGGCATATTCCTCACCTACCGCATTCAGCAGCTAACCTGCCCCACGTGCACCTAGAAGCACGTGCCCAAATGGATCAATAATAACATCAAGCGCTTACTACGTGGCAGGTGTATTACATATACTAACTTATTTAATCTTCATAAATCCCCTATGAAGTGGGTATTAGTATCAGCTCCAGTTTACATATGAGGGAACTGAATCACAGAAAGGTTAAATAGCTTACTTGAGGTCGCATGGCTAGAAAGTGGAGGAAGCAGGATTCGGCCCAGGCAGCCTGGCTCCAGTGCCCGTGTGATCTGCAGCCCACCTGCAGCAGTCAGCTGGGACCCTTGTTACAAATGCAGATTCCCAGCCTACCCCAGGCATCCTGGGCCAGGGGTGGGGCCCAGGAACCTGTGTCTCCAACAAGTGCCCTGGTGATTCTGATGTGCACAAAAGTTTGGGGGCCCAGGTTCAGTGTCTGGCGCGGAACAGGTAAGCTGTAACGGGGCCAAGCCACTGCCCCTGAAGTGCAACCTCTGGGACCCCAGCGCATGAGCCCTTCGTGCCAACCATCACCTTCTGCTCCAAAGCCCAGCCTGGCCGCCCAATCACCCAGGAAGGTCTGCTGGCCGCTAAGCTAAGCCACCCATGACATCCCCTCTTCAGGTGCTCCTGCGGCTCCTGCCCCAGCTGTTGCGGATGCACGTTCGCCCGCTGACCCCAGCGGCTGTGCAGGACACCCGGCCCCGGCTACAGAATGGCTCCTCCACGCGGTGGTCAATCACAGCCGGGGAGGAGGTGGCCCTCCGCCTGCCCCGCAGTGAACTCCTCTTCCGGCAGCACCAGAGCAATGGGCTAGTAAGGGCAGCGCTGGAGAAGCTAGGTGAGACAGGGGGTGTGACACTGGGGACACTCCTCCCCAGGGACTTCAGACATGAAGGGTCTGTTGGCCAAGGTGCCAGGCACAGCAGATGAGTGCTGGGCAAGCGTCCAGGTTGGGGAGAGAGGGGCTGGGGTCTCTAAGGAGAGGCCACTTTCTCAGACTGTTTCTCCTCCATTCTACTCCCAAACCTTACTCTCTCTCTTCCACAGAGAAAGGCCCGGAGTCAGGGCAGAGCCAGGAGTGGTGTGGCAGCCTGAAGCAGGCCGCCCCAGCCATCCAGGCCTGTGTGGAAGCCTGCAACCTCATTGCCTATGCCCGGTACCAGCAGAGTCATTTTGACAGTGTAAGCCAGTCAGGGGTGGGGGTGGGGTTTGAGTACCTGGTGAGTGACTTGGACCTGCGATGGGGCAGGATGAGTGGTGTGGCCATGGTAGGGCAATAGGATGGAAAAAGTGGAACTGGGAGTGGCGCCAGGGGCCCGTGGAAGAAGCCAGGTTGAGGCCTGGAAGTAGGTGAGAAGGGCTCAAGGAAATGAAGAACGGAGGCCTGCTGGATGGCCAAGGGTGGTACAGGGATCCAGCCTGGTGCCACCGCTGGTCATCTCATCCCCTGCCTCTCACCCTCAGGGGAACAAGGAGTGGTTCCTGGTGGGCAGAGTGCTGGACCGCGTCTGCTTCCTGGTCATGCTCTCGCTCTTTGTCTGTGGCACTGCTGGAATCTTCCTCATGGCCCACTACAACAGGATGCCTGCCCTGCCATTCCCTGGAGACCCCCGCTCCTACCTGCCCTCATCCGACTGAGCCAACCAATTGCTGCTAGCCATGTGGAGTCTTATCAGCTGTGTTCTGCTGCTGAGGTCATGAGTATGCTCTTTGGGAAGCACCCTTCAGGGCCATGTGAGCCATCCGTTCCTGAGAAAAGCTGGGGAAATAAAAAGACAGAGCTGGAGCCCTGGAGTGGTTGGGGATGGGATGCTGGCAGAGTGTGTTAGTGGGATCAGCATCTACATGGCACTGGCTTGCTATTCCTGGCACTCCCCTCACTTGAGCAAAGTGTTATCAACTCCCATCATTTCTGAAGCCCTAAGGACTCTGTTTTATCTTATCCCCAACTAGGCAAGGTCCTATCCCTCCAGGCCTGGGCCTCCCTTCCCTTTTACAAGTTCCCTGCAGGCTCCTAAAGGAGGGAAGTCAAGAGAGAAGTGTAGAGTAGCAGCCAATGCTCTAGCGAAAGAAGGGGAGCAGAGCCCACTCCAGCTGGCATCTGCCTACTTTCTTGGGGCTGTACGCACCCAATACTCATGTGCACCAGTGACCTTTCTATTCAGATGCATTTTTTTGCCATCGATCACCAAACATTTTATGAGTTTTATTATCTTTTTTCATTATTAAGAGCTCCTCACAGCATTATGGATAAGCAAGAATCACCATTCCCCCATGTTTAGGATGGGCAAATTGGGGCCTAGAGTAAGAGGGGCGTCCCAGAACAATGATGGCTGAATGAGGGTTGGAGTCCACAATTCCCAACACTGACCCAATCTTAGACACTCTAAGAAAGTTCTATGGCCTGGAAAACGGACGCCTCTTCCTTCTCTTCTCAAAGGCCAGGGAATTTGCACTGGTCTCAAGGAAGAGCGAGGCAGGGAGGCAGGGAGGCTGGGAGGAGACCCTGACCAGGCTCCCTTTGCCCCACTTGGGAAATGAGGGCCGGGGTCTTTCAGGGGGTGGGGGTGGGGCGGGGAGTAAGGCCATGCTTTGAGAGTGTAACTGGAGCCTGAGTTTTGTTGGTGACAAGACAACTTGGGCAAGTCATTTGTGCTCCCTGAGCCTGTTTCCTCATCTGTAAATATGGGCACAGATATCAGTTCCTACCTCCCCTCATCACAGGATCAAAGGTGTGGGTGAAAGTGATTAAAAAATGTTAAAGTGTCACGTAAAGACCTGACAATGGGACATTGTTGGGGGGAGAGGACCTCCCCCAAGTACAGGGTTGCTGGCTTTGGGGATCAATCACCAGCAGGTTCATTTCATTTATTCCACTGTGTGTGTGTGTGTGTGTGTCGGGGGGGGGGGGGT